ATTAGAAGCCATTAACTGAAATCGTGATCAGTAAAACCGTGCATTGGGTCCAAAACCTCATTGTCACCTCCTAGTGGTGAGCCCCGGTAATGGCGGGGGATAAAGGGGTGATTCAAACGATCAAAGTTAAATTCGTGTCGTGGTCCTTTCTCGCGGCTAATCTCCTACTTTATGAGTTTCAGCCCTATATTTATACATGAACTTGCGACAGGCGTCCCAAGTCAAGGTGGAACAGCATATGCCGACAACTGCGTGACTGGGGGGGAGCTTAGTCGTTAATATGCGGATTCTGGACACCAGGCGCCCTCCAGTTTAAACAAGCCTTCCCATGCTTTCCCGCGCTACTCGTGAGAACAAAATGGAAAGCAGAAACGATAACAACAACAACAACAAAAACAACAACAACTGTGATAAAAACATCAACAACTGTGACAACAACAACAACAATAACAACAGTGGCAACTACACCAACAACAATAATGACAATACTAAGGGCAGCATTAATACTAACAAAGTTATTGCTAAGGGTCAGTGCAACCAGAGCTTCCGCTCTAGTAGAGGAAAAAGCGAAGTCTCCGATGGAAACGGATAATCAGGATCCTCTTGGATCAATTATCCAAATAACTGAGGAGGACCTGAAAAGTTTGGATATCAGGGGAAAAAACAATATTTCTCTGGTGCATCCAAGCGGCGTGTCACAGCATACATCAGGGATGGCATGTCGGGTGTTCGGTCTGGTGAATCATCCCCAGAAGAGGGAGAGGTCAGAAAATAACACTCCGGATGCAGGACCCTCAAAAAATAGGTCGATGAAGGTCAACGTTGAGGGAAGGTGCCTAGGAACATTCCTTAACAAAACCCGAAAATGACTTCTTATCGGGATGCAGTAGTACAGGTCAAGGTGGACACCAGAATGTACATAAAAACACCAGAAAGTGGATAACTAGTGTTTTTAGGAAGATAAGGCCTTGAGACTGCTGCAACATCGCCGTACTGGATGGCGCCGACATGACCAAACAGCATGTCTGCCTCACCTACGTGCCAAAGAACGACACAACCGTCAATTTCACCAGGGACAAATTTCTAAGCAGCTTCAAGATGAGTTCCTGGAGGGTGCTGAGGATGGATAAGGAAAAGGCCGGGGGCTGCTCCATCAGTTTCTCCGTAGATAATTCCGGTTTGGAAGATCTACGAAAAGCGGAGTTCCGATTTTTTCTGAACTTCTTCCGTAACCGTGTAACCGTTCGGGTTTTTTTTTTTTTCCTTCTTCACTCCTAGGAGGAGTATAGGGAGTGCATGATATGTATCATGCTCTAGTTTCTATAGTCATAGAGAGTTAGCTAGGTAGGTGACTAGCCTACCGTAGTTTTTATTTGTATTAAATATTTCAGTTTATTAATATGTATTTACTGTTTATTTTTCTTAGTATCGAATATTATGAATATTTGAAAATTACTTGTATAATATTTATTAGTATTACATATTAAGTTATATAATATTGAATATAATTTTTATAGTGACCTGACCGGGGTTTGAACTCGAGACCCTTCGGTTAAAGGGCTGGTGCCATAACCACTGCACCAATGGTCAGATTCGGGTTAAAGGAAGGAAATCCCCTCAAGTTGCTGGCGACAGGGCAGGACAATTTAAAAACCATCGCCTACCGCGACAACAACGAGCACTTCAGGCTAACCAAAAGAGTCAAAACTCATTGGAAAGTCTGAAGTCGCTCCCAAAATGGCGGCAAGAGAAACGGAAGTACCATCGACCAGCACACAAAATACTAGCATCTCGGGTGAACCAAAAGGGCTCAAGCACATTGAGAAACCGAAACTACTTCGATATTTGCTGTTGGAGGGGCCAGTGTGGCACGTAGGGCGGCAAAAAAGGCTGTGGCGGGATAGGCGCCCACCAAAATGCGCAAAAAAGCGGCAACGAAAAGTAAAGCTCATTTAAAGCCTTTGTCTAAAGGGCCAAAGCCCTAACAGGTGAGCTATTGTATGATAATACAATTGGGGCAGGCCTAGGGCTTGCATTTTATTTAAAAAAATATTATCATATCTTCCCATTCCAGATTACTGCTCCAAGCTAGCTGCGTTGGTGAAGGTGAAGTCTTCCGGGGGTTAGACAGAGTTTATTGTGTGCTCATCCTACCTCCCGCGAGACTGTGCCCATCCAGACGAACAACTGAAAAACTTAGTGAACTTTTGTGGAAGGAGGAACTTTCAACTGATAATAGGAAGCGATGCCAATGCCCACCAGACCGTCTGGGGAAGCAGTGATATAAATAAAAGAGGTGGTTGCTTACTTGAATTTATATATAGCAATAATTTAATGATTATGAATGAGGGCAATAAGCCGACATTCAAAAATGTAATTAGGGAAGAGGTCCTTGACATCACCTTTTGCAGTGAATTTATCGGCAGTAGGGTTGATGGACAGCATGACTCAAATGAGACATCTATGTCCGACTATAGGCAGATTAGGTTTGATATCATGGTCCCCGGGGGCCTGGCAGAAGAAATATATCGGGTGCCTCAATCCACAGATTGGAGTCAATTCGAAACGCTACTCATGGGTGGGATTGGATCCTTTCGTACTTCTGTCAGAACGGTGATCGATATCGAGCTGGCCAGCAAGGCCCTGACGGTGGCTATTACTAATGTCTACCATGGGAGCTGCCGCGCTAAGCCGACGTTGGAGCTTATAGACTCAACGCACTTTCCTGACTCGGAGATTCTTCGTAATCTTTCGAATGTGGTCATTAAACCAATGGAAATCCTGGCCCAGGAGGGATGGCTGGCAGCGATCCCGTTTAGTCTTCACGATGGGCAGGATTAGATGGGCTGTTTTCTCTTGGCCCTTAAAATATCCAGGTGATGGCGGGATATATCCTGCGTTTTTGCAGAGGAGTTTCCAACATATAGCTAGAACACTGTTGGAAATTTTTCATGCCAGCTATGCGTGGAGTTACATCCCTTAGGCATGGAAGGTGGTTAACGTGCCGTATATTCCGAAGGCGACCGAGCAACCACCCAAGGTCTTTCCGTCTCATCAGCCTTACTTATTTTCTATTGAAAGCAATGGAAAAAGTGATTGATAGATTTATACGGGACGACACACTGGGAAGCAATCCCTTGCATGAGTCTCAGTACGCCTATCAGTTGGGACGGTCTAATGTACTCCCTCTGCAGAGTCTAGTGGGAGTCCTTCAAAACTCACTGGAAGTGCGGGAGGTAGTAATTTGCTGCTTCGTTGATATAGAAGGAGCTTTTGACAACACTCCATATCATGTCATCTGTAAGTCGATGCACAAACGAGGGATTGATGCGACGACGAGCAGATGGGTTAATCGGATGCTACAGGATAGGATTATTAACTCCACCATAGTTAACGATACACTCTTCATCTTCACTGCAAAAAGGTGTCCGCAGGGCACCCCTCCTTCTTTCGCCCCTCCTGTGGTCCTTTGTAGTGGGTGAATTAATAGCTGCGACGTGTCTGGGGTTACGTCGACGATGTGGTTTTCGTCATACGGGGCAAAATTTAGAGCAGTATTTCTGACCTTCTAGAGTCACGTTCATTTGGGTGCCCTGCCACAGTGGCCATGCGGGGAACGAGGTTACCGATCGGCTAGCGTGGAGGGGATCTTGGGCTGTCTTTGTGCAGCCGCTGCCCTTCTGTTGTCTGCCTTCTCACACCATGAAGGCGAGGCCTGCTAGCGGCGGAATGCGGCCTTCACTGGCGGGGCATGAAAGGGTGCCGTCATGCGATTCACCGCAGAGTTGCTGGGAATGAACAGGAACCGCGTTCGTGCATTTGCGAATTTCTTCACGGGGCATTACCCAGTGAAATACCCTGCCCCTGTGCAGATTTTGTGGGGGTGGTGACGAGACCGCCGTGCACATTCTTTGAGACTGTTCAGCGCCGGCATTGTCTTGGACGTGGTTTCCTAAGTGTTTGGGAACTTCTGTCCAACTACCTTGGAGATTTCTCCGGCTTTATAGGTGGGGAGGCTACAATAAGCCAGAAATGGCTGCGGTGGCTTGGAGGGTTGCTCCTGCCCCACTCGGTTCCCTTGAAAATCTAATCTAATACGATGCATATTCTGCTCTAACATTAAAGTTTGAAAGCTTGAAAGCATAGTACAGGGTTTTCAAATGTAGTTTCGATAGAAATTGCCACCTAATATAACAAAATTTCCCTTAAAGGGAAACTCCCAGTAGATCATCTATTTTCATGAATGGCTCAAAAGGAAAACTAATTTTAAAATAAAGTATTTAAAAAACTATTTCAAATTATTTTCAAAATAAAGCTAAAGTGGTAGGAAATAAATATTTGTAAAAATTAACTATAAAGTATGGTTGTCGTGATTTGATGTTCTCTTTAAAAAAATATAAAAATTGGATACTTTGTTCCAGATAAGCAAATCTAAAGATTTTAATTCTCTCTTAAACTTAGAAAGTATAGGAAATTTAACTGTTAACAAATCTAAATATGAACTAAAAGCTGAATGACCTGTCGTCCCTCGAGGTAATAAAATCCCTGGTTTTAATGTTTCCTTATGAATTAGATTTATTATATTAAATAGATTTATTATGAACTAAGTTTTTTAATCAGAACGAGATATAAGTATGTTTTACCGTGGACCATCGATATAAAAGCATTTTTGAATATTTAAAACTAGGACGGATTCCAATATAACATGTGGAGCTAAAAGTTTATCATTGTTAAGACTATTTCATAACATAAACGTAATATTATCAAGACCTACATCATGCAAATTTTGGTAATAATTTATATCTTTTAAGTTAGGAAATGGACATAGTTCACTAAAGTCCAAACCAATGTTTTCAATTCGTTCTTTTAACTTAATCTTTTCGTTTTATTTTGATTAATACAAATTTAACTTCTTCTCAAATATCTGCCGAACGAATATCTAGGATAAATTAAGTATGGAAAACCAAAAAGATTAAACAAATGGAAATTACGAGCCTCACCTAAGGCTACTCTTGCGCTTGTTGCTTCATGGTTAATCCAAAATGAGACCCATGAAAGTGTCACTATTAGTATGCTTGGTAAATATGTTTGAAAAATAAAATAACCAATATTCCTCTGAAGTTTAAACGAAAGTGATAATCTTTGATAAATTCCCGTTGCTAGTTTTTCTTTTCTGTCATTTGTCTCATGAGCTTTAATTGTAAATTGCGGAATCTCAGCATTATCTATACCTCTGATTGGAGTCGGTTTCCAATACATCACAACATCCATTACTGTATATCCATCTTTAAAAAACAATAGTAAAATATAAATAAAATGTAAATCTTAGGAAAAAATGCAACAAATTTTATTATTAAAAATTCAAAAATATTTAATTTTATAATATGTATATAAAAAAAAGATGTGTGTGCCTGCTTTGCTTGAACATTGAACTGTTGATTCAATCAATTTTGAAAATACATTACGTTTATTTTGCTAATGCGATTTTTATATATTTAATCCAAACTCCGCGAGAGTATCCCGCGAGAGTTTGCTTTCGGTTCATTTACATACAAATTTGGTTTAGGGTTCACTTTAATCGCATAAACTTTTGTACCAACTTTTTTAATTTTTTAAAACCAAGCTGATTTATTTCATGGTATAATAACTTCTTTTGGAGTTTTGAAAGAAAAACTTCCGTTTCCGTTTCCAAATATTTTTGAAATTTGTTTTTCTTCAGTTTGGCAAATGACTGTCCATATTTTTATATGAACTCATACGTATATAAAAAATATACAAGAAAAATAAAAAAAAATAATTTCAAATTTCCATTTTCTTTGTTAATAAGTTCACTATCATTATACCCGTACGAACGTATGTTCGAAGGGTATACTAAATTTGCCTTACCGTTTGTAACGCTAAGAAATAACGGTGTTAGATATAGACTCAAGTGTATGTTTTTGATCAGCGTCAAATTCTGAGTTGATTTAGCTTTGTCTGTCCGTCCGTCCGTCCGTCCGTCCGTCCGTCCGTCCGTCCGTCCGTCCGTCCGTCCGTCCGTCCGAACGATAACTCAAAAACTAATTGAGCTAAGTTCACCAAATTTTCACAAATGATTTATTGTAGTAAGTGCCAGAACCCTATTTAAATTGGACGTGATCGGGGCACCGGTTCGGGTAGCTGCCATACAACTTCAAAATTTATTTGCCTATATCTCAGAAACTATAAAAGTTGTGCTATTGAAATTTCACACGAAAGAATATATTAATAGGGCCAATGTGTCTGATAAAAGTCGTTGAAATTGCTTGGCTCCTTCTGGTACCTGCCATACAACTTCAAAAGTTATTTGGCTATATCTCAGAAACTATAAAAGTTATGGTATTGAAATTTCACACAAACGAATATATTAATAGGGCCCACGTGTGTGATGAAAGTCGTTGAAATTACTTGGCTCCTTCTGGTACCTGCCACACAACTTCAAAAGTTCTTTGACTATATCTCAGAAACTATGAAAGCTGTGATATTGAGATTTCACACAAGTGAATATATTAGTAGGGCCGATGTGCTTGATAAAGTTCGCTAAAATTTCTTGGCTCTTTCTGGTAGCTGCCATACAACTTCAATAGTAGTTTGGCACAACCGGAATTCGGAAAAACACATAGTACTGAAATTTTGCATAAATTAATATGGTAATGCGGCAACTTTAAGTCATAGTCTGCCCCATAGTTAGTTATCGCACATAGGATAAAAAATTCGTACGGGTATCACAGAGTTGACAAGGTCAACTCTATTTTTTTTCTCGTTTTGAAAGGAAATTGTGGATTATTATAAACATTATTCTTAATGATGTTCTGCTCTTGATTGTCCCCTGTAATTTTTTTTGAGCCGTTTAATACGTATTCCACCTATTTTAAACATTTTAAGCTTTTCCTAAAGCTTTCTATCAAAAAGTTTTTGCAAATTAGATTCTTTTTACCACAGAATCAAAATCCCATTTTTAGCTAATCTTCTTTATTATGAGAAAAATAAAAACAAAATTAAACAAATCATATTTTGCAAAACACTTACAACTTTCAATTTCTACAGTACAATTTTGAGAATCTAGTGGATAATAATGAAGATCCATCATACAAGCTAAGGTAGTTGTAAATCGTATACCGTAAGTAATTGACCCATCTCCAGACAGTCTGACCAGCTTATTCCTTTCAGTAACATCATGTATGAAGCTAAAAAAAAACATGCAACGAGATTAAATGATTTTGGGAAAGTACATTTATAAAGCATATAAAATTAATTTTCAAAACAATTTGTTTTAAACGAAGAAAGAATTTTTTTACGAACTCAACCACGTTTACAATTAATATTGTATAGAAATTAAATCTCATTAGTATGTTCGTAGATCTGAGAGTGATGCATTTAGAGCTTAGAAGCATTTGGTTCAAACACAATGAAAAACGGCTAACTCCTGGCAGACTCCCAGGAATTTTCGTAGGGAGGATACTAGAGCTGATGAAATTTATTCGAAATTTTTATTTATGTGAGTAATGTTCTTTGCATATATTTGCACAAAAGATTTTGTGTTATTTTTTCTTTTTCTAATATCTATATTGTAAGATTTTAATATTGATGTGGTACATCATCGTAAAAAATAATATGCACTGTGTAGGGAGATAATGCATATGTATTTGTAATATGTTAACTATAAACTATATTTTACTATATTATAAGCAATAAAGTTTTATGTGTTGTGGGAGCAGATTGTTTTATTTTATTCTCCTCTTACAATAGTATATTTTAGCAAGCTTCATCCTTGTTTTGAAATATTTAAATTCTTAGAAATAATTCAAAAATCGTACTAAATAAGCACTATTAAAAAATTTCTTTATATATAATCAGGATCATGAATACATCGCATATACTGCATTAAATTAAAAGTTATTACGTCCTATCATAATCAAGACTTTTTAATTACACTTTCGATAACAGTATCCCGAGAAATAAGAAACATTTTTATGCAATATCCATCTATCATACAAACATGAATATTGTAGGTTAATATTTTGACTCGAAAGATTATGGAAACAATGTATTTGTGGAAAGACCAGATTTTTGATGTTCAATTACATATACATATGCTATTTTTTTTCCTTTCTCACTCCTAGCATAGGGTAGTGTATGATATCATGCCCTAGTTTCTATAGTCATATAGAGTTAGCTAGGTAGGTGACTAGCCTACCGTAGTTTTTATTTATATTATGAGTAAATATTTCAGTTTATAATATTTACAGTTTAATTTTCTTAATCTTTAGTATCGAATATTATGAATATTTGAAAATTACTTGTATAATATTTATTATTATTAGTATTTCATATTAAGTTATATAATATTGAATATAGTTTTTATAGTTACCTGACCGGGTTTAAAAAAAAACATATGTTATTACCTCACCAAAAATTCTTTTTTTCACAATATCATCAAAAACTCTTGAAACTTATAATTAAATTAAATACCCGAAAAATTAAATATGATCTATCAGAAGATTTTTAAAATGCTTTAATTCGGACTTCGGTTGTACAATTCGAGATTACACGTAATAATGATAAATATGTTTAGTCTAGCAAATTTTTTCACCATTACCATGTTAATATAACTTAACCATCTTAATATAACTTAGACACAAAACGAAAACGAAATACCATTGGATCGAGATATTTAGACAGCATGTTAATTCCTTTTAGAGAATCGGAATTATTTGGTTCAATTGATAAAATCAGTTTAGCAAATATAATTTCATCACAATCAGCTACGAAAACATAGGAACATCATTGGTATTTCGAGGTGCATTTATATGTTCTCTGATCATCATGGGTATTTCGGATAAAAATCAATGATATTTTATATAAATTTACTTATTTCCTCAGATAATCCTTTATCATAAACTTTTCGCAGTTTTTATAACAACGGACATAAGTAGAGACTTCATTTATTGTAGCGACAACGATAATCATATTTTCACGAAAATATTGAGCACTAGCAAGATTCAACATAAGCGCTTCAAGAGACAAATTCATGCTACAAGGTTATAATTCAGCATAAGATGCATCAATTTCAATATTTTCTTATGTTCTATGATAAACTTCTACTGATGTGTTATAGAAATAAAACCCTTTGATAGAAATTTAATCAATTTTAGCTCCCAAAAACATAATAATAACATTAAATTGGAATCAATCAATGAAAACACAATAAAAGAAATAAATACGGAAAAAATTACGACAAACAAATCGGAATACTGCACAGATGAAGAGGATCTGGTTCGGAAAACCGATTGGATTCTCAAGAAAAAAAGCAAAAAACGAAGAGCAGATATGTCCCTGAAATAAGTTCTGAGGACAAGGTGAGCAAAATAGAATAATCTGTGCAGATAAATGGACTATAAGAAAGATCAAAACCCCTCCTATTGTATTTAGCAATGTGGAGAAATATCCAAAAATAAAGAAAATGTTCAAAGACGCCAAAATAGACTTTAGGATCAACATGATGAATAATAATCAACTTAAAATCAATGTTGATCAATAACAAGATTACAGAGAATTAACCAAAAAACTAAATGAATCTAAAGTAGAGTGGCATACTACGAAAATAAAATGACAACATCCATGAAGGTGATGGCTAGAGGCTTGCATCTTTCGTGCCAACCTGAAGGCAAAAAGAGGGGTTTTAAAGTTCTTGAAGTCGTTAGTAAAATTAGAAAACAAAATAAAGAAAACAAGATCATTATGATCCGACTTCCTCTCTTCATGTTACTCTTTGAAAATTCGGAGGACAAATAAAATTTACAAAATAGATGTACTTCAGAACATGAAGATTAAAATTGAGTTACTAAGGAGAAATAATTTAGTTCCTCAGTGCAGAACGTATCAGAGATATGGGCACACACAGAGGTTTTGTCAGCGTCTAGCTCAATGGGTCACGTGTGCTGGTCCTCATTTAACGACAAATTGTAGTAAGCAAACAATCGAAGCTCCAAAGTGTGTAAATTGCTCTGAGGCACATCCTGTGAATTATAGGGGTAGTACAGTTGTAAAGGAATTACAAAAAAGAAAAAAAAAACTTTACAAAACATAAACAAATAAAGACAAAACCAAAAAATACTCCCAAAGCTCCAAAAACACCAATAACAACTACATTGAGTAAAAGAGTGCTGGGAATACAATATGCCCAAGTGGCTAGGAGTGAAACATATAACCACACCAAAGAACAAAGTGATTTACCACTTCAAAAACCTGCTGAAAGCAATATAAATATAATGCAAACGAAGCAAATATGATAAAAACTATGAACGAAATCTCATTGACATTGAACAGATTAGAAGACATGTATGATAATGTTTATGTATGTACGCCAAAAAGGATAAAAAATAATGGATGAAGATAAAATAAGAACTGCGACGTTGCTGTACGAATAGAGTCTTATTAACATAATTTCGATGTTGTTGTGCTTTACTGTCCTTCGGGACGTGTTATAAAAAGTGGTTCAAGGACCTCCTGAATCTCCTTAAAGACAGGTTTATTCCCGGAGGTCACTATAATGCCAAACATATTGACTGGGGTTCTAGATTGACCTCAACAACAGGAAGAGAGCTATGAAAAGTTATCAAAGAGATTGGTTGTCACTACCAATCCACTGGTAGACCAGCATATTGGAAAAGTGATAAAAATAAGATACCAGATCGCTAGAATTCTTCCTTGTCAGGAAAATCTCGCCAAATTTCATTAGTTTAGAAGATAGCTATGATTTGGGTTCGGATCATTCTGCAGTTATATTAAATTTAACTGAGACAGTTACCAACAAACAAAATAAGGCCATGCCGATTAATAAATCCACTAACTGGACTAGTTTTAAAGAAGAGATAGAGAATAAAATAAACTTAAAAATTAAATTACGGATCCGGGATGATTTAGATTCTGAGGTAGAGAATTTTAATAAAATCATTCAAAACGCTGCCTGGAAAACAATATGAGTATAAGTCTGTAGGAATGAGTTACCCAATGGGCAATAGAAAATAATAAATGGGCAATAGAAAATAAAGAGAAGGCTAAAATATTTGTAGATCATCTTGAACAAATTTTTAGGCCAAATGACATACACTTAAACATGAATATTGCAATAGAAAGTGTGAGAGCAAAAAATGTTATCGCTCCATTTGCACAAAGAGAAATAATGGAAGAAATAAAAAGCTCAAAAACAAGAAAAGCACCGGGTTATGATTTAATTACTTCTGAGATACTGAAGCAATTACCAAAAAATGGTATAACAATGGTGTCTTGTTTAATGAATTCCACATTAAGATTAAAATATGTGTCTAAAACTTGGAAGGTGGCAAGAATTATAATGATATCAAAACCTGACAAACCTTTAAATGAGACCAAGTTTTATAGACCAATTTCTCTGCTACCAATTTGGTCGAAACTTTTTGAAAAGTTATTACTAAAACGAATGGGACCTTTATTGAGGAGAGGTCATTAATTCCGAACCACTAATTTGAGTTTAGAGCAGGGCATTCAACTACTGATCAAATTCATAGAATTACAAATTTTATTGAACAAGCCCTAGTGTAAAAGCAAATTTGTGTTTCAATTTTTGTAAACATAGCACCGACTTTTGACAAGGTTCGGTACGAAGGATTAATATACGAGTACGAGTTAGAAAAATATTACCAAAGCAAAATGTGGATATTCGCTCTTCTTATTTAACCGACAGATTACTTAAAGTCAAACAGAAGGGGAACTATTCCACACTTAGATAAATAAGAGCAGGTGTGCTTCAGGGCAGTATTTTGGGTCCAGTACCATATCTAATCTTTACAAGAAATATACCTCAAATAGAAAACACAATTGTGGGCTAGATATGCTGACGATACTGCAATTATAGCAGTAGCATCAAATATTGACGACACGACAAGAAAGTTGCCGCAGGCAAGCAATAGTTTTGATGTTTGGATCAAGAAATGGAAAATAAAAGGAAATAAAACTAAGTGTGCACAAGTAAATTTTAGAAATAAAATTCTTGCAAACCCTCTATATGTTAATTTAAATAGGGTAAATGTTGCGCAGGAAAATGTGGCAAAATATCTAAGAATGACTCTAGACTGAACCTTGACATGGTAAAATGGAAAGAACATGTTAAGAAGAAAAAAACAGAATTAGAATTAAAATACAAAGAGATGTATTGGCTTCTAGGTTGCATGTCAATGTAGAAGCCACTCCGCTTCATGTTATTCAGGATTCTCCCAGAAGGCTAAAGAAGAGTTTACTTCCTGATGCGCAAAATGCGCTTCACCACATCAGAGAGCGTTGAATATAAGGAGGAGGTTTTGGTGGTAAAACACATAACTAACTATGGGTTGCTAGTGAATGGCATGTAAGTAGCATTCATGCATTCCTCCTTCCTTCGATGAAAAAAAAAATTCCTACTTCACTCCTTGGCAGGAGCATAGGCCTGATGCACGATATTGTAGATAACCATAAGTACCAGCTTCTTTCGTCATTGAGTTTACTAATATGCACATTGAATTTTCTCGTCATTGAATTTTCATAATATGTACCATTAATATTTATTTTATAAGCCCCCTTAAACTATACAACCTTTGGTATATTTTTTTTTTTTTTTTTTTGCTTCCTTGTTATTCCCCTTGGGAACATAGGGCTTCAACATAGCCTCTCCAACTTTCTCGGTTTTGTGCCAATCTTTTTATTTCGGCCCACGTTTTGCCTGATTGTTCTAGCTCCTTATTTACACTTCTTCTCCAGGTCTCCTTTGGCCTCCCCACATTTCTTTTTTCTTGGGGACTCCACTCAAGAGCCTGACGCGCAACCGATGTTGTTGGGCGCCTTAGAATGTGGCCAATCCACTTCCATTTTCTTCTTCTTATTTGTATATTTATTGGATCTTGTTTCGTCATCAGCCACAGCTCTTGGTTCATAATTCTTCTTGGCCAGAATATTTTACATATAATTTTGAGGCATTTGTTTACAAAGACCTGGATCTTCTGTACATTAGCTTTGGACACCAACCATGTCTCATTTCCGTAAAGCAGCACCGATTTAACACACGCGTTGAATATTCTTATCTTGGTTCCGCGTGCTATGTGGGTTGACTTCCAGGTTGCCCACAACCTGCCGAATGCGCATCTTGCCTTAGTGATTCTGTGCTCTATGTCCTTATTAGTTCCCCCATCCGTTGTTATTATGCTGCCCAGGTATTCAAACTCGGATACTTCTTCAATGGGGCTACCCTGTATGCAGATGGGGGCTCGACTCGTGCCATTAATTCTCATGAGCTTGGTTTTTGTTGTGTTTATTTTGAGACCGATTTTTTCTGCTTTTTCAGCCAACTTATTTATGATCATCTGCATGTCTTCGGCCGAGTGAGCCAGTAGCACGACGTCACTTTGATTATTACTCCCATCTTCCACTCCTTGGAGATTTCTTCGTCTTGCCATATTTTTTCTATTATTGGCTTTATTGCATTAGCCGCCGTGATCTCTCCTGCTTTAAACAGCTCAGCTGGAATACCATCGAACCCTTCTGCTTTGTTGGTCTTTAGCTTTCTAATTGCCTCTACTATTTCTCTGATGGTTGGTGCCCCTCTGTTGATAGTAGTATCTTCTCTAATGTTTGGCTCCATATTCTCGAGTTCTATATCTTGGGTTTGTATGTTGGTTTCTGCGAAGTGTTCTTTCCATCTGTTCAACTGGTCTTGGGTTGATGTGAGCAGACTACCATTCTTGTTCTTTATCGGTCTTTGCTTTCGATAGCTCTTGTTTGACAGAATATCTATTTTTCTGTGGAGTGCTCGGGCGTTATTTTGTTCTGCAGCTGTTTGGGCTTCTCTTGCTATGTTATTGTGGAATTTTCTCTTATCACTTCTTATCATTTTCTTTATTTTTCTGCATATTAGGGAATGTGATTCCCTTAAATTCGGGTCATTGCTTGTTAGAAGTTGGTGTCTTATGTATCTTCTTTGTTCAATAGCAGCCCATGATTCTTCAGAGATCCACTCTTTTCTTTCACGTCTAATGGTTCCTAAGACTTCTTCTCCATTTTGACGGTATATGTCTTGAATCTGTTTTTGGTTTCTATTCTGACCTCTGTTAAGTACTTGTTGCACATTAGATACAAATTCTTGCTTTGTAACCTATGATTTTAGTTTGCGAATATCAAGCCGCTTTAATCTATTACTTTCTGTGGTTCTCTTAGCTGCCGTCTTGATTTTTATGTCTGCAGTTAGGAGAATATGATCACTCTGCACATCCGCCCCCCTGCATGTTCTCACGTTCGTCATTGATTTAACCCATCTCTGCGCAATACATATATGGTCTCTTTGATTTTTTTTTCTGCCATCAGGGGATACCCAGGTATACTTATGTATTTCTTTGTGTGGAAATATTGTACCACCTATTACCAAGCCGTGTTGTTCTGCTATGTCTTTTAACCTCTCTCCATTATTGTTTCGCATGCCAGTGCCATGTCGCCCCACCGTTGGCCAAGCTTTTACGTTACCAACTTTCGCATTGAAATCTCCCATTAATATTAGTATATCGGATTTGGGGATGGAGCTCAATACTGATGTTAATTGTTCGTAGAACTCGTCTTTAACTTCAGTTGTTGCGGTTTCCGTAGGAGCGTAACACTGCACAATAGTAATTTTCTTTATTTTTGAATTAAATCTTGCCGATATTATTCTGTTTGAGATGGGTTTCCATGTTAGTAAACTCTTTCTCAGTTCTTTTTCTATAATTATGCCCACTCCATGTTCACCATTGGGGTTTCCTGAGTACAGCAGTATGTTACTGTTAGAGGTAGACATTTCTCCCTGATCTGGCCACCTTATTTCGCTTAACCCAAGTATTTTTATTTTATATCTTTTCATTTCTTTCTCGACCTGAGCCAGTTTTGCTTGTTCCTTCATTGTTCTTACGTTCCATTGTATTATTAGTATATTGGTATATTTAAGTACGTATTATATTTACATATTTAAATTTAATACATAAATTTAATACGTATTTAAATATACCAAAGACAATTTTTAGTAAACATCTAATTACCTAAACTGATTTTAAAAAAATTGGAAACGATTCAAGTAAGCTAAAAGGCCTACTTTGGTAATTTGAGTGTTAAAAAATTATTTTTTAGGATATTTTCAAAAATCCTCTTTTTCACATTGAAACTTCCGAAGAAGCCTATTACAAATTACAATATTAGATGATAAAACTTACTATAATATAATATACATACATGTAGATATAGCAGAAAATGGCAACATAATATTACGACTTTTTTAAGTCTTTTTTTATTCTAGATATAATTCCTCTCTTTCATAATGCTTCTGCTTGAACGCAACCAACAACATTTAAAATTGAAATGCTTCACTAAATAATACATATGCATAAGATTTGAAAAATAAAAGTACCTGTGTTTATCATTTGCGAAAAAGGTATCAGGAACCCATATTCTTTCTGCAAAATCTCCAGATAAAGTTAATGCATTTCCATCTACTTCATAATTTTCATCGCTTTCGTCATCGTTGCCATTTGTTAATATATCATATTCATTAAAAGCTAATCGCTCATCTTTCCAGTATTGATTCAAATAAAGAGTAATAGTATAATCCTAGTGAAAATTAATAATTATTTAAAAAATTCCCATTGCAACTGAAGAGAAGTAAATTTTATACTTTCGTATTTTAATCTATTATTATCTTAAGAAAACTGTGATTTTAATAGAATATCATGAGTGATTTTCTATTTCCCTTCAAAATTTTTTGGACTAACAATATATACATACGTACTTTCTTACTATGGCCACAAACAAAGGTAGAGTTTGGATATCATTCATCCTATCAAGCATATACATATATAATCTTACTCACAATCGAATTCTCAGTATGTTTAGACACCGTCTGTTCGTTCTTCTGTTAGTCTCTTGGTGAAACGCATATTTAAAATTGCAGGTCAAGAAACATTCAACTGAAAATGTCTCACAAATTTGCGCAACTTCTGTTCAACAAATTTTTTGAAAGTCATTGAAAAGTCTTCTTCGATTGTCTTCTTTGATTGTTTATCTTCTATGATAAATATAGGTATTTTTATTTTTGGCCTTTTGGAAAAGGACTTAATGGGGCCTCCAAGAAGACTCTGGATAGAAATTTAAAAAACTGATATGGTTAGCAAATGATTGACCACATTGTTTATTGTCTACTTGAACACTTTTTTACAATTTTAAGGACACTAGAAAGCTCTTAGTTAACATTTCTCGAAAAATGTAAATTTGGCTCTTAGTAGAGTTTCGCCCTAAAAATTTCATCAGTAAGTTTCAGTAACAACCAAAACTTAGATATTAAATTTCAGGAAATCTTACATGTTAACATAGTTTCGTAGATATGGTAAACAATTACTGCTGGCGTGGTCATTCAGGCAAAAGGTAAAAAGGTCCTGCAAATTTTTCCAACTTTTACTGGGGGACTTCTCAAAATTTAGTTTAATATGATTTTGGGACAAATTATTGTATATACATTATTGTATGTATTGATTACTTATTGCTGGATACTTAATAAATTGCAAACCATGGAAACTTGAAACAATCCACTTGTAGAATTTTATTCTTAAGCTTTTCAATAGTTTTTGTTATTGAAAAATGTTTTACGTGACATCTCAGATTAGTCTCAAATTTTAAAAATTTTTAAAATAATGTTTTTTAAAATTTTAAAATTTTAAAAAAAATTTAGGAAATGTTTTTTCTACTATAAATATTTATAAACAAAATGTTCTATTAGCGGTTAGGTCTTTCAAATTTACTGGTACCTTTTAGACAACAGCTCGGATGAGTCCCAGCTTTTGAACTTTCGTGGAATATATGAATAGATATTTAATTTTACCAGAACACAATTTTTTTGTAACTTTTTTTCCTTTTTCCTTATTATTCTCAAAGTTATAAAAAGTCAATTTTCAGAAGACTGTTTCATTGATCCTATAAACCAGGCATTTCAAACACGTGGTTCGCAGCTCTTAAACATAGGGCGCGTTACGATTTTTGAAAATTGTGAAATTTAATTCTTGTAATTTTGTTACAAATATTGATTTAAATCAGTAAGAAGATGTGTAAACCAGAGTGTAGGTTATGCGAGTGTTTGTCACATGTCTTAAAACCAAACATATGCATATGCGAAAAATACACAACTGTGAGAAGTGGAAAGCTTAAGAATCAAATACTTATATATTTAAAAAAAGAATCAAATACTTTTATATTTGAACAAGTCTATTGTGTATTTTATTGCTATATTTGTAAACAGTAGACCAGTTAAGGAAATTTGAAATTTTCTGAATATTCTAATATTCAGAAAGAATAAATTATTAAAAACCGAATTTGAAAAAAGATTTTTAAATTTCAATAATAATGTCAAATTGAATTTAACCTACATATTTACTTTTCTATTTTCTATAGATATTGAAACACTTGACGTAAATTTACAATTGAAATCAAAATGCTGTGCGATATTAAATGTTGTCCGAATTAATATCGCTCAAATATGGCCAGAGCTCAAATATTAAATTTCATGAAATTCCATCAATTTATTCCGTAGATGTGGTAAAAAATGTAAAATCGGCCCTCAGCTTAGTTTCAGAGCCCGTAAAGATGTATATTTGGCTCGTATTAAACCTCCAGTTGCTGACGCCTGATTTCTTCCAAAAGTTATGAGCTTCTATATGAAATTTCAAGTAAATCTGTTGAATATTTTCTTTAAAATGATCAAAAATATAAAACAGGCCCGCTAAAAAGTGCAGTTTCTGAGGCCTGATATATTCCAAAAGTTGATCAATCCGTGCCATGATCGATATACACTTACATATAAAACTTCAAAATCGGTTCAGCCGATACACGCGTGATAACTTGAGATACACGAGTGCAGACACAAACAGACATTCCGACAAACCGACACCTCTCTAAAAATAGTTTGTTTACGCTTCCCTACCATGACGAAGTGCGTTCCCAACGAAAACTCAGATATGCAAAATTTGTTGCCATCACATAACCTTCCTTATTGTATGCAATGCGGTCGGCAATAAATTCAAAGAAGTGTGAACATAGTGTTCGATTTTAAGGCTTAAATGGGTAAGTTAACAACAACAATTATATTTTTAATGTCATGGAGCTTACCCTTAGCTTTCTGCGTTTATGAAAATTTCAAAAAGTTTGCGGTTTCTGAAATACACGGTGTCAAAAATTTAAATTTTACAAATTTCAAGAGGCGATAACTTAAACGGGGGTTGAGTGAAAAAAAAATTTCTTCTAACGAGTGCTTATGGTTCCACTGTAATAAATAGTTAAAAAATGCCATTTTTAGGGTTTTGGGGGAATATAACATTTAGAGGGAGATGGGTAAAAAATTTTTTGTATGGAAATAAGTCTCAAGGAAAGATATATTTACACATAAAATTTCACATTTCTATATTCAAGGGTGTAGAAGTTTTGTAAACAGACACACGGGCAAACGGACGGGCGGACTGAAAGAAACTAATAAGCACTTTTTCCAAAAGTTCATAAAAAGCTAAAAATTTTTTTCTCACTTATTCTTATAAAATTAAATTAAAATAAATATACAAATAAGTTCATTTTTGGTTGAAAACAAGAATGTTATGGTAAATCGAATCATATTTTATTTTATTGAATGCATTTTTTAGATATGTAGATGAATAGTAAGGGCTTTATTATATGACAGATTAATTATTATATAAATTTTTTTAATATATGTAATATTTTACAAACCATATTAACTTCGGAAATCGCATCAAAACTTGCTATCGTCAAGTCCATCCCAACGTACAGAGGAGAACCTGCAAAATTATAAATAAACGTACATATATAAATAATTTTAGTTGAAAAATAAGTTTTTTATAATGTAATTCTTCTTTACTAGGCACGTCATCTGATATTAAATTTATTTATTAGGCAAAACAAATTCTATCTCTTATCAACAATACGAATTGCGTTACAAATTGTTTTCATGAATTATTCAAACTAATGTGATAAGAGTTACGATGAAAAATCTCGTTGCATACGAGTACATATACGAAAAATTATACATTTAGTTAATGTAACCAGTATTAGAAGAGTTTGCTCCTCATAAATTAAAATAACATAATTGTAAAATTTTTATTCATAACCGACCGCATTGTATATACAACAGACAGGTTACGTGATGGTAGCAAATTTAGCATATCGAGTTTTCGGTGGGAACGCACTTCTCCATGGTAGGGAAGTATAAGTAAATTGTCTTTAGCAACCTGTCGGTCTGTGTGTGCACGCGTGTATCTCAAGATCGGCTGAACCGATTTTGATGAAATTTTCTATGTAAGTTTATTTCGACTATGGCGCGGATTGATCAACTTTTGGAATATATCAGGTCTCGGAAGCTGTATATTTTAGTGGATCTGTTTTACATTTTTGATCATTATGAAGAAAATACTCCACCGATTTACATCAAAAATTTCATATGCAGGGTGATTCAGTAATCAGTGACATAAAGTATACCATCATTTAGGGCATCAAAAATTAATGAAATTGTTGTTCAGAACGACTTCGATGCAAAGGTTGGAATTGAAGAAACGAGAAACGTAACCGGATCATTTGGATTAGGAAACAGAAATGAGAGTGGGGAACGGCTCGTAGAATTTTGCCAAGAAAAGCGTCTTCAAATAATGAATACTTGGTTTTCAATACCGCCACGAAGATTGTACACATGGAAATCTCCACAAGACTATGATGAAAATATTGACGCAATCAAATTGACTTTATTATAATTAACAGACGTTTCAGTTCATCTGTGAAAAATGTGAAAACGTATCCTGGTGCAGGACGTACCATCGGATCACAACCTTCTCATGGCTAAAATTAACATCAGGCTAGCCAGACCAAGAGTTGTGACCCATCAATTTAAACTTGATTTGGAAAAATTGGAAAATGATGAGATCAAAACCGAATTATCTACAAGGATTAATAGACAATTGAGGCGTGTTCGAGGCGAAGAAAATATATGCATATGGCAAAATAAAAAACGATACTTTATGATTCAGCCAAAAACATTTTAGGGGCTAAAAAATATGTTGCAAAGCAGAGCTGGATGACACCAGAAATGTTACAATTAATGAACCAGAGACGTCTTTGCAAAAGCAAGGATCCTGTAGAATAAAAACATATACAGCAAAAAATTCGTTCTAAAATAAGAAGAGCTAAACAAAATTGGCTACAGCGCGAATGTAATGAAATAGAGAGGCTTCAGAATCTTCATGACGATTTTAATCTTCATAAGAAAATTAAAGAAGTGTCTGGAGTTTATAGAAAAACAAATGTCGCTACTCTAAAAGATCATCGCGGACAAATAATTATTGATAGTAACGAAAGAACAAAGCTCTGGGAAGAATATGTGAAAAAACTCTTTGAAGACTGTAAACGATCGACTCATCTTGAAATATCCACAGAGCTGTCGGGGCCTCCAATTACTATGGATGAAATCAAAAGTGCTATACGTTCGTCTAAAAACAAAAAAGCTGTTGGACCAGACGATATACCTGCCGCAATAATCAAACTGATTGATGAAGATAACCTGGTCTTAATTGAGCGACTATTTAAGCACATTTACAACACTGGTATTTTTCCAAATGATTGGCTAAAATCAACATTTATCACGCTTCCAAAAAAGGCCAATGCCAAAAGTTGTAAGGAAGATCAGTTGATAAGTTTAATGAGTCATGCTCTTAAAATCTTTCTTAAAATAATACACACACGTCTATATCCAAAATGTGAGGCGTATATGGGAAGAACACAATTCGGCTTCAAACAAGAAACTGGTACACGAAAAGCTCTTTTCGCTTTAAAAGTTCTAATTCAAAATTGTCGAGATGTGCAGAAAGATGCGTTTCTTTGTTTTCTAGACTATGAAAAAGCCTTTGATAAGGTCCAGCATGATAAACTTATTGAAATATTGAAAAAAATGGATATCGATGAAAAAACAGTACAATGTATTAGAAATATATACTGGAACCAAATCGCCAATGTGAAAACAAGAGATGGTTTTATTATGAATTTTACTAATACAACATCATAGTTGCGGAATCAATAAGAATGTGCTTATTACACTACTAATTTATCTTAATGGAAATTTCTTCATGCAACTGCAGAACAGATGGATGACGTAATCAAAGGAACGAGTTAAAGGCAGAAAAATTATTCATTAAAAAAATTTTTCTCCTCGAACTGGACTCGAACCAGTGACCTACCGCTTTCTAGGCGGACGCTCTACCAACTGAGCTACAGAAGCATGAAGAAATTGCCGACGAAATGTTCTCTACATTGCTTTATACTGTAATTCACATGATTACTAAGTATTTGTTTTTTGTTTACATTGATTGCTACATACAATCCATTGAAACACACAACAACAAGAACATATATATTTATAGGATAGTGCCTATTCCACTAATTATATTATGAATTTTACTAATACAACATCATAGTTGCGGAATCAATAAGAATGTGCCTATTACACTACTAATTTATCTTAATGGAAATTTCTTCATGCAACTGCAGAACAGATGGATGACGTAATCAAAGGAACGAGTTAAAGGCAGAAAAATTATTCATTAAAAAAATTTTTCTCCTCGAACTGGACTCGAACCAGTGACCTACCGCTTTCTAGGCGGACGCTCTACCAACTGAGCTACAGAAGCATGAAGAAATTGCCGACGAAATGTTCTCTACATTGCTTTATACTGTAATTCACATGATTACTAAGTATTTGTTTTTTGTTTACATTGATTGCTACATACAATCCATTGAAACACACAACAACAAGAACATATATATTTATAGGATAGTGCCTATTCCACTAATTATATTATGAATTTTACTAATACAACATCATAGTTGCGGAATCAATAAGAATGTGCCTATTACACTACTAATTTATCTTAATGGAAATTTCTTCATGCAACTGCAGAACAGATGGATGACGTAATCAAAGGAACGAGTTAAAGGCAGAAAAATTATTCATTAAAAAAATTTTTCTCCTCGAACTGGACTCGAACCAGTGACCTACCGCTTTCTAGGCGGACGCTCTACCAACTGAACTAAATGTAAACAAAAAACAAATACTTAGTAATCATGTGAATTACAGTATAAAGCAATGTAGAGAACATTTCGTCGGCAATTTCTTCATGCCTCCGTAGCTCAGTTGGTAGAGCGTCCGCCTAGAAAGCGGTAGGTCACTGGTTCGAGTCCAGTTCGAGGAGAAAAATTTTTTTAATGAATAATTTTTCTGCCTTTAACTCGTTCCTTTGATTACGTCATCCATCTGTTCTGCAGTTGCATGAAGAAATTTCCATTAAGATAAAAAAGAGATGGTTTGTCAAATAATATCGCAATTCAAAGAGGAGTTAGGCAAGGATGAATTTTATCACCACTGCTCTTTAACTTATATGTAGAAACGATATTTGATGACGCATTACATGATGTAGAAGTAGGTATCAAAGTTAACGGCTCACCCATCAACAACATAAGGACTTGCAGTTTATTGTAAATAAAGTGAACCAACATAGCAAAGAATATGGTCTAAAACTTAATGTTCAAAAGACCAAGTTCATGATTATAAGCAGGAGTAGAACACTATATCCAACAGCAAGAATAACAATAGATAATCTTCAAATTGAGAGAGTATCTAGTTTCAAGTACCTCGGTAGTTGGCTATATGAAGATTGGCATTGCAAAAAAGAAATCAGATGTCGAATTGAGATTGCTAGAGACGCTTTCTTTAAGTATCAAAGAATTCTTTGCAATCAGATATAAATTTAAACCGCCGCCTACGATTTATGAAATGCTATGTTTGGTCTGTCCTTTTATATGGATCGGAATCATGGACTTTAAAAGTTAGTCATATGAACAAACTCGAGGAGTTTGAAATGTGAATTTTTCGGAAAATGCTGAAGATATCTTGGGTAGATCTCTCACTTCGGGCATGTGATGAGAAACGGCAAATATGAAATTCTTCAACTCATTGTTCAAGGCAAAATCGAAGGTAGAAGAAGAGTTAGCAGAAAACAATTATCATGGCTCCGTAATATAAGAAATTGGACTGGTATAACAAATGCGGGCGAATTGATACATCAGGCAACTGAAAGGGACAGATTCAAAAATTTAATACTCAGCATCATATGATCGCTAACATCCAGTAGTAGATATGCAATGCAAGAAGAAGAAGTTATTCAGAACTAGGTGTCAAATCTCAACGGTTTCCGAGGTACTCGTATGTCCAAAAGGCAATAAAAAATTACTCGAAGATAAAGAATTTAAATATAAAAGCACAAGCAAGTATTATATAATTACAAAAAATTTAAATGATTATGAAACTAGAAAAAAATTTTTAAGAAAACTGATTGTTTCCTTTTTGTATGTATACCCTAACACAAGAAAAAAGGAAATAAATTTTATTAAAAGGTCTAAATAATTTTAGTAATAATTTAGTGATATAACTGAAGCAATTTTAGAGAAATAACGAGAAAAAAAATAGAGTTGACCTTGTCAACTCTGTGATACCCGTACGAATTTGTTATCCTACGTGAGAATAACTAATGTACCATAACTAACTATGGGGCAGACTATGGCTTTAAGTTGCCGTATTACCATATTAATTTATGCAAAATTTCAGTACTTTGTGTTATTCAAAATACTGGTTGTGCCAAACTACTATTGATGTGGTATGGCACCCACCAGAAAGAGCCAAGAAATTTTAGCGAATTTTATCAAGCACATCGGCCCTACTAATATATTCACTTGTGTGAAA